GTGAAGACAGAGGCAGAGGCTGGAGGGATGTAGCCACAGCCGAGGAACTCCAGGAGCCACCCAGAAGCTGAAAAAAGCAAGGAGGGGTCCTCTCCTAGAGCCTTCAGAGGGAGCATGGCCCTGCTGACACCTGGATTTCTGACTTCCAGCCTCCAGAACTGAGAGTAAATTTCAGTTATTTTCAGCCTCCCAGTTTGTGGTAATTTGTTATGGCAGCCCTAGGAAACTAATACGATATATGTTGTATATATATTACATGCAGTTGTTGAAAAATGTTGAAGCAGTACAGAAGAATAAAAGGGAATGAAAGTGCCCCCTCCCCACTTCTCTTCCTTCCAGACTTAGCATTAATCCAACATGTACTGAAGACTTAATGCTAGGTGCTATGCTGGGTGTGTGACAGGCACCACAGTGTTTCATCTTCCCAGTCACCTCTAAGGGGAGCATTGCTGTTATCACCAATCCACGGATGAGGAAACTGAGTAATGAGCAAGTGACAGAGCCTAAATCTAAATCCATGCTCTTCTTAACTGATACCCCTTGTGCATGCAGTGACACATATGTACACATATGTGTGTGGATACACACATAAAGATATATGTATCAAGTCTGAAAACATGGGATCATACAATAGTTAAGTGTTTAAGAGCAGCTTGTGTTTTTGTCCCAACTGTACACCGTGTACATCCTTCCATGTTGATGTGTTTTATGTCTTATGCAATTTAATGGCTGGAGCATTTCCTAAACTCAGCACAGAGGTAGAATGCAGACAGACACGCACGCATGCATGCACACTCACAGGAGCCTGAGAAAAGAAGAAATAGGTTCCTGCGGGGGGAGGGGGGGAGGGGCAAACCTAAAGGCTCATTATTTGGAACTGCCCTAGAATCACTAATGAAAGGGAACCTATTAAACCCATGGAAAGTGTAAACAGAATTTGCAGAGGGTGTTTACCTTTCGGAAAGCACTTTTCAATCCCTAAGTAGCTATTTGCTTGTGGGAGTGGCCCGGGTGACAGCCTGGCCCTGCCGCCAGCTAATTACAAGTCAGCTGCCAAGAGTCTATTCAAGAATGAGCTGCCTCTGGGAGAAAGAGGTGGGTGACTTTGTCCCCATTAATGAGGCCATCTTTCAGGCTCACAGCATTCAAAGTGCTTTCACATGGTGAGGCTTAAAACCAGCCCCGAGGCCACATCTTCCCCACCTCCGTCTCTGCTTTGTTTGGTCTCTGAATTCTAGTACTTCGGAATAGAGATGCAGTCATGGAGACTGCCAGCTTGTGCCTGGGGGCTGACTCTGCCTTTCACAGGGTTTTGGTTGCCCTGCGCAATATTTTAAAATAGAAAACGTTCACCTAAGAATCTTGATTTCTCCTCTAGGAAATCTGGACTTTGTGGCCATGAGGCCTACCTGAATCACCCACACATTTCTGTGAACTGCCCGGCCCTCGGTGTGCTTCCGACCCTTATCAGAACAGTTTCAAGTGCACTCCTTGTACTACCTGCATCGGCCCCTGAGGAGCTTGTTAAAAAGGCAGATTCCACCGGCCCTGTGGCTCACTTGGGAGAGTGCGGTGCTGATAACACCAAGGCCACGGGTTCGGATCCCACATAGGGATGGCCGGTTCGCTCACTGGGCGAGCGTGGTGCTGACAACACCAAGTCAAGGGTTAAGATCCCCTTACCGGTCATCTTTNACAAAGGAGATGGCTGAGATTCAGAGAGAATAAGGCATGCGTGCAAAGTCCTCAGATCACACGGCTGGCATGTGGTGGCACTGGAACTGGAACCCACCACTATCTGGTTTCAAAGCCCTTTCTTTTTCACAGCCCCAGGCATGTTGTCCCTGGCTGTTCTATACAGACCAGGGGTTGGCAAACAAGAGCATTCAGGCCAAACCTGTGGCTGGCATGTGGTGGCACTGGAACTGGAACCCACCACCATCTGGTTTCAAAGCCCTTTCTTTTTCACAGCCCCAGGCATATTGTCCCTGGCTGTTCTATACAGACCAGGGGTTGGCAAACAAGAGCATTCAGGCCAAACCTGGCCCACTCCCTGCTTTTGTTTATAAAGTTTTATTGGAATAGAGCCACAGCCATTTATTTATGTATTGTCTATACCTGTTTTGTATTACCACAGCAGAGATGAGTAGTTGAAAAGAGATCGCATGGCCCACGAAGTCTAAACATTTACTCTGTGGCCTTTTAAGAAAAAATCTGCCAACCCCTGACATATACCATGACATGTCCCTATAAACAAGAAGGAGAGGGTTTTCCATAGGTCACATATAAGCTCACTGTGGGGGCCTCTACTGATAATCCCACTCTCCAACAGTGCTTATCAAGTGCCAAGAATTTCTGTCACCTCACTCGATCCCTACAACAACGCTGGGAGGTCAGTGCTGTCAACATCCCCCTTTTACGGATGAGGAGCCTGAGGCTCAAGCAGCCACGTCACCTGCCCGAGGTGTTCCACCAAGAGCCAATCCTGAGGGTGGCCATGGAGCACATCCATGGCTCTCAGAGGCCAAGACACCAGCACTGAGGCCAAGGGCAGCCCCACAAAGGATACTGAAGATGATGCCACCAAAACAGGCCGAGAACGCCATCCGCGGGTAGCCCTGGCGGGCCAGTGTGAAATCTGAGAAGGCATCTGCATGGAAACAAGAGAGGGCCTACAGTGTGGAGTAGCTTCCCCCTGGCCCTTTGTGGTCACAGGACCTGGCTCCTTAATTCCTTTTTTTTTTTTTTTGGTGGCTGGCAGTACAGGGATCGAACCTGGATCTTGGTGTTATCAGCACCACGCTCTAACCAACTGCGCTAACCGACCAGTCTCCTTAATTCCATTTACCCTACTCTTTCTCACTAGGAACAACTTTGTGGGTGTGGTATAACATACTGAGACCGACATTTTACCCAAGTCCTGTCTGATGCTAGCACACAGAACACCTCTGTGTGAATCAGAAAAAGGTGGAAGGAGGACTGAACTTTAACAGTGCTTAACCTGGCCAACCTCACCTGGCTGCTGTAGCTAGAGAAGGGTATATGTATGTATATTTGTATGTATGTGCGAATGTCTGCACATGTCACACACCCATGTATGCATTAAGCATAGTTGACTGCAATGGGCTCCATGTCCTGCCTGAACTCTGCGGAGCCATCCAGAGTGTACACGCATCAGAGAGTGGTGAAGAGGCAGGGACCTCTATGGAGTTTCCTGGTCTAGTTACAGTCCAGGCCATCTCACCTCAATGCCCAATGATGGTCACTCCACAATGACAGTGGGCATTGAGGACAAATGTCCTGGACACCCCTGTCCAGATGCAACTCTGGCTGGGGAACAAAGAGCCATGATTGGCTACATTCACCCCAGAACCCTACCCAGCCCTGAGTCACCTCCGATGCTGTTCCCCCAGGCCAGCAGTGTGAGCCCCAAGACGGTGTTGCTCAGCCGGAAGACCACACCCAGGGACCGCAAGATGTTCACCACCTCTGTGGCAGCCACGTTGATCCACAGGGCGCTGGTCAGAAAACCCAGGAAAGCAAAGAGCTGCGGAAAAAATGGTGTGCTGATGGGACCAAGGCCACCTTGACAGGGCCACAGCTCAGTTCCTCATCTGTGAAACTAGTGGAACCAGAGCCTGGGACAGGGAGAAGATGGGCAGTAACTGCCAATGGGTACAGAATTTCTTTCTGGGATGATAAAAATGCCCTAAAATTGACTGTGGTGGTGGCTGCACAGCTCTATGAATATAATAGCCATTAAGTAGGTGAACCATACGGTAGGTGAACTACATCTCAACATAATAAAGCTGTTACAAAAAAAACCCAAAAAACAAAAACCCTGAACAGGTAAAAAACCCTCAAAAGTGGCTTTTAAATTCAGCTAACATGTCATCGTGTAAAGTGATTACTGGCCAACTGCCCCAGAGATGGTGATAGGACGTCTGCCTGGGAGACCTCAGTGTCCCCTCCCCACCCTGGATTCTTACCCAGTGAAGCTTAGGGGGCTCACTGTTGGATGTGGCAAAAAAGGTCACTGAAGCCAAGGCTGTGCCTGCAATCACCACCACGGCCCAGATGGGAAGGAGGCCGCCTATCTCATAGACACCATCTGCAGAGGGACAAAAGAGGGAGCTGGCACTCTCCACAGCTTCAGCTCGGCACCTCCTCCTGGAGACCCCCCCAGAATAACCACGGATAAAACCCACTTACAATTGATGGTTTGGATATAAGGTAGATACTGCATATGTGTCTAGCCTTGTCCTAGGCACTTCAGGGAAACAGACAAATTAAAACGCAGCCCCTGCCCTCAAGCTAGTCACATTTAAAAGAAAAGACATACCTGTGAAAAACAAACTCTCCAGGGCCGGCCTGTGGCTCACTCGGTAGAGTGCGGTGCTGATAACACCAAGGCCGCGGGTTCGGATCCCATATAGTGATGGCCGGTTTGCTCACTGGGTGAGCGTGGTGCTGACAACACCAAGTC